CAATTTGTCTTTTATCTGGATGCATGATTTTGTTAGAGGTTTTCTCAAATTGTGGTGGATTTTGTTTCTGAAATCGGGAAGTTTCTTGTGATCCCTAAAAATATTTACTAAAATCAACAATAGCTAAGTAAATCACTCATGGTGAATAATTTGCAATAAAATTATAGGTTTTAACTAAAACATATATAAATGTTGATAGAGAAAATGAGACTTACATGTGAAGACCATTGTTGGCCATGGAATTCTTCTTGTCCAGGTTGAGTGGGTCGAGAGCCCATGTGCGATGGTCCTTGGAAACCCTGCTTCGACATAGTCTGCTGCAATCAAATAATTGATACATTATAGCATACCAAAAACATGAACTAAAATTTAGCAGCTACTGAGGTTTTCTTTGTAGAAATTCACTTTTGTAAGTTTGTAAGGAAAAAACTCAAAAACTTATTGGCTTTTGAAAATTTCCAACTATGTAGAGACAAGATGTGTCTAAAATAAAATGTCATGTGGTTGGTTGCTATAAACAAAAGTTTACCGAGTTAAATGAATCATTAGTTCTACTGTTCTGTAAAGCAACTCATTTAAAGTTACAAGCTGCAAAGACATTTCTAAATCATACTTCATACTAATATTATAAATACAAAAGTTTAGATGGATGGATGTTAGAGTTTGTGGCTTAAATGGCTGAACAGATTTCTATGTAACTTTGGTATAGATGTAGGAGATGTCTGGAAGAACATATAGGTTACTCACTTTTGTATATTTTAATTCCATGCAGACAGAGTGGCGAGCAAAAGCTATATAAAGAAATAATTACCGGTTTTTCAGGATTGAAACCCTGATTCGGATATCTCCCTCCTTGTGTTGGCTGTCTGTTTTGTTGTTGGTCAGTTATGTTAACTGGTGCATGTGGTCTGGGTTGATTACCTCTTGGAGGCTGGAAAATTAAGTAAAAAATTATCTACTTCTATCCTCCTTTTTGTTAATTTTCAAATAAAACTAAAGGTAACAAACTGCAGCAGGCTATTATTTCTAATTTATTTAGTGTTAAAATAGATAATATAAATATACTAAGGTTCTACATACTAACCTCAATCAAATTAGAAGGCACATTATGCGAAAAAATTTCTTGCGGTCCCCTATTTTGGGGAAATCTTTCCTGTTAGACATTATATTTATTAGTGGTTTTTATAAAAGCATAAAATTTTTTATCATTCATCCATTATTTTTAAACCTAGTTTAGTGTTATGGTACACAGTATTTCTGAACTAAACCTCAAACTATAGATAAAGTATAATTGACTAAAATGTGACTTCAGAATGATTAAAAAAAAGACTTACATAACCATATTTGATGTGCACCTCTTTAACTAATTTAGGTTTAAAGCTTTAATTGTTATGAAAAACAATGTTTTGCTTCCTATTAGAATAATAAATTCCTTATAGGTACAAAAAATACATAATTTGAATAGAAATGATGGTTAATGTCCATAGAAAAGGATAGAATTGTACTGTTTTATTATTTGTATTAAACAAGAAATAGTTTCAAGTAAAGTTATGTAATTATCAATATAATGTTATAATTTAGCAAAACTTAGCAAATATCAATATCTTAACTATATTAACAAGCACATTTTACTGCTTAGGTTATTAGTTTTTTTACTTTCAAACTAGCTTGACCACAATCACTCCAGAATAATATAAGATGGCATACCTGATAGAAGTTCTGTTGCGCAACTACTGGTTGAACATATTCATAATTATTTTGCACTAGAATTTGCTGTGGTATTGGTTGGGTATTTGACCATTGTTGGTTGGCCTGTACTGGCCAACCACCTTGTTGGGCAGGATTCATTGGATTGACATAATTCATATCTGGCTGCTGGTTATTCCACTGGTAGGTGTTGTCATTTGATACTTTAACTTTTGGTGTTTCATTCTGGAAGTTGTTAAGAAGTAACAAAGAAACTCAATTATTTATAATCACAATAATTAGGATGTTAGTGATGAATGTGGAGAGGAGAGGTAGAGGTACACCTATAGATGGATGAATTGAAAGGTGAGGATGAAGAAGGGAGTGATGACTGAGATGACAGATGATAGAGTTATTTGAAGGACGAAAACCCGGTGTGCCGACGTTACAGGAGTAGGATAAGGTAGGGGACATGATAAATAATTAGTGCGCAGCAATTTAAGAGCAAGGCCTAAACTTAGTGGACAACATCAGGCTAATAATATTAAATAATTAGTTTAGTTGTAGACCCCATTATGAGCATTGCCTTCTGATGACCTCAGCTAGGTTTAGGGGAAGAAAACAACAAAATATATGATTGTAGTCAAGTGCTTTTATATTATTTTACAAATAATGATTAGGTAGCTACCTGAATCAACTGAATTAGCAATGTGACTTTCATACACACTTATAATTGCTGCAACCTTTTATGGTGGATGGGATGGGGAATCATGGAAAGAAGATATTTCACCTTCTCATTCATTCCCTACTCCATCAAATCTACTTTTCTGTCCTATCATTACCCTCTTAGTAAATGGTGAGAATGATAAGTACACTCATATTAGGCCTTAGGCACACACACTCATCAGATTAAAAGCAGAATGATATGCACTTCACTTAAGTGTGGCAGTGATATTGTTCTGAGCAAGCCAACCCATTAGTGCAAACAATTTTATTGCATGCTTATTATGGTTAAAATATTTTAATACATGTAATGAAATAAAATGAAATAATCGTACTATTTAGCTATTTATTTACACGACTGCTTAACTTTTACAAATAGTCCTCCAGATATAATAAATGTGCAATAATATGTAAGAAAGTGGTTTACTTACAGATGGGACTTTTCCAATGGGAACTATTCTTAACACTTGTCCGGAATAGCGACATCCATCTAAACATTTAATAAGAATGTCACCTTCCACTTCAGAGGGTACTCCAATTCTTACATTTTTAGTTCTATCTTCATCAACACCCAAATTGCCAAGTATAAAATCGGTTAGATTACACTTTTCTTTTATCAGAATTTTAATCTCGTTGTATTTAATCTGAAATTAAAATACATCAATAGAAAAATAAAAAGCAAGGTATTATCATTTTTACTAATTAATTACTTACTTTATTTGGTAATCCATGCATTGTTAACATCATTTTGACGATTTTACTGAAAACGAGTTTCTAAAATCAAAATCACAAAACGAACTTTTATTTAAAATCTTAAAATACTAATAACATTTAATGTGGCATTTTTTCTTATTCTTATTCACAGAATACAATTCTATTTAGCTTCATTTGTAACCATAAATACTCCGCCATATTTAATTTTACATCAGCTAGCAAAGCAAAGAGAATTCAAAGAGAAGAGCAGCTACTCCTACAGCCTGGTCTTTGGTTTATTGAATTTTTCCATAATGTTCATTGACATTTGACAATCAAGAAAATCGTCCATCTTTCGTTGTTAACTGAAATTATTTTTCAATCGTAATTAATTCATGTTGTGTATTATTACAAGTACACAACGTATTTACAAAGCCTAAGTAGTCAACAGTTATGAGATTTTGAAAGTAATTGATGAGTGACCATTTGCGTATAAAAATCAAACATGCTTTTAGTAATCCATAATTTGCCGTCAAAGGTAAGAAAAAGTTCATTCGGAATGATTTTACTCATAATTGTATGATGATTAACGCATTATTTTAGACACGTTACAGTGAGGTGAAGGCGCTTATCAGGGATCGATGCAACTTGAAAGATTTAATTGTGGATAACCTCGTATACGAAGGCCCTAAAAGCCGTAAAGTTACCGTTGGATTAAGTGATGAAAATGATGCTATTGCCGTTATAAAAGAGCTGGATGGTCTTGTTTTTATGGGGCAGAAGCTAGTCGTAGAAGATGTACGAAAAAATAAGGTATCTTTTTGTGTAAAAATATTCTGTAGAAACAATTATTTGAAATTAACAATTTAGAAGGAAATTTCTAAAAAAAAAGTTAAAAAAAGGGTATTTCCTCATTCTCACACCAAGTTAAGCCTGTCTTGATAGATTTGTGCAATACCACGACACTATAAAAGATAGACATGAATTTGAAGTATTTCTGTTTTTTGTCTGATGAGACAGTATGCTTGAGGCCTGCCACTAGTCCTCTTGCCCTTCCCACAGATTTCTAATATAAATATGATTCTTTATGCACTTTTCATCTATTTTTATAAAAATCATACAAGAAATTGTATCCTGTACCATCTTTTATTATGTAAAAAAAGATTAAAACATCAACATCTTTCAGGGATCTAATGCTCAAAAATCGAATTCAAATCAAGGTTACAGTAGAGGCAACATGAGTCACAGTGTTCAGGCTCCAATGCCCTCTTATATGACACCTGACTTATATTCTGTCCCATACTATATGGCCGGTCAGGTAACATCGACTGAGTATTTTTATACCGCTGGCGCAGCAACTCAAAGTGATTCTTGCTTTGATACTAACAAATGCTAAGCTATTGTGTGATATCTGCTAGTTAACAGTGTGTTTTCTAATAATAATCAAATTTTAACATAAATGGACAAAGGGTATTATTTTGAGCACAAGTAACAAAGCATGTATGCATAGATGTAAGGTGGAAAATACAGGAGAGGTGTAGGTGATAAGAAAAATATAGACTACCTGTACCTCCTACCTCTGGGTTATGGGCTATGGTTATGGATTGTGTTGCGGTTTTACTAACAATATTGTAGAAGTGGCTGTTTCCCATATGGTTGATTGGCTTACTGATGTACTGACCTTTGGATTTTTGTCCCATTGGGTTGATGACTTGTTTGGATTGGATTGTCCCAATGAGATGAAAATTCCCATTTGGTCAATTGATTGGTGGGTTCGACAACCCTATGGGAACTACCTATAAAAGTGTAATTGAATGTTGTTTGGTTAAAATAATTCTGTAATTAAGTGTCAATTTTAACTAAATTGTCAGTTGAACAGTTAAGGTGTTGCACACACATGCACAGTTTTAACTGAATAAATTGACTTTGCAGTTAAAACTAACACAAGTGTTGATAGCAGGGTTTCATTGTGATTTTCTTTATACCTATGCAGATTTTAATACATTTACTGTCATTCTTTTTTTTATGTGAAAATTCTAGACAATGAATGTATTAAGAATGTATGGAAGATTTCCTGATAAATTGAGTTCACAGTTGCAAAAAGGTTTTATTTTCATGGGCATAGATGTGTGATGTGCTAATAATAAAAAGTTGGAAGAATACATTAGTAAAGTAACTAAAAAACCTAAAAGCTTGAATTTTTATATTGAATTACTCTTTTGCCTTAGAAAGCTACATTATCACTTATAGTCTATGGTATTTGTTTTCTTGGCTATTTTATGTTATTTGAAGATCAAAAGCAAAATAAAAAGAAAGTAATAAGATCGAAATTGGATAGCTATAAATTAGATAAGGGTAACTAGAAGGGAATGTATTCAGATATGACTTGATAGATGTATGGAGATATACTGTGAGGACGCACCATAGGGAAATGGTCAGGATTATAATAAATTGATACTGATATTCTGATTTCAGGATATGAATCAAGGTAACTCTATGGAAGGTATGATGAATGATAGCCACGGACCGCCTCCCATGCAACCGATATCCTCTTTGCCACAATACATGCAATCTCAACCATACTTTATGTATGGTCAGGTAAGACTTTAACATTAAAAATCTATATATTTGTGTTATTCCTATGTTGAACAAATATAATAGGATAGACTGATATATTGGATATAACTGGAGGCTTGAGACTGTCAGGAAGGGGAAATACTATTTTTTGTTTGTCTTTGTCAGAGTTGTCTATGGGCAGCTGTCACTGGGTTATTTAATTGAAATCATGTGGCCAATTGCTCAGAAAAAAACACTGATTGCGGCAATTGGTTAGGTTTTGAATTGTTAATTTTTTTTAATTGATGTAACTTATACAGTACCTAAAAATAATATAATGTGTAATCTCAACAATGCAACGCAAAATATTTATACAATTTTCTTTAATACTTGTAGTTTGGAGTGTGGGTTTTAGATGTGTTCTGAATCTTTTCTGTAAGGAGTTGAATATGTATCATTTATTGTGTTACTTACAATTTATTTTCTGTAGGATTCTCCCACGGGAATGTCTCAGAAAACCAATATGATGCCACAATCTTCATACTGCTCTCCGAGAATGCCTGTGACACAGGTTAGTTAAATAATTCAGATAAATATTAGAAATAAAAGTGTATGAAGGCTCAATATTACTAAATCTTCTTATTTCCAGACATAAACTTGATTAATCTACTGTTGCTCTAAGTTTTAAACTTAGCTTTAAGTTTTTTTACTTATTTGCTATTTACGATTCAGTTTCACAGGTAATATGTGGTGGTGGTAACTAAACTGTTATAGACACATTAATCTTAAAATTTTCTTATACTATACGCATCATACAGTACTTCCATGTCTTACATGAGATTGGAAGTTTATCGATGGAACTGTTTAGAGTGTAAATGATCATTCTGGGTATTGTAAAGATGGTGATTGTGGCAGGC